GCCCCGCCCCCTGCGCACGCCCCGCCCCGCGCACGTGCTGGAGCGCGCCTCAGCCCCGCCCCCAAGCTTCGCGCTAGGACCAGCGGGCGGTTAGGCCGGCAACCGCTCGGGTGTCCGTCTAGGGCGTGGGGCGCATGTGCGGGACTGGAGTCACCTGGGCACTCAGGTTCCAGGGGCTTTGACCGGTTCTTACAGAGATTCGGCCCTGTGCTCTACAATTTTTTTTTTTTCAAATTGTTTTGAAACAGGCTCCCACTATGTCCTGGCCCAGGACTCTGTAGACCAGGCTGGCCCTGAACTCACAGATATCAGCGTGCCTCTGCCTCCAGAGTGCTGGAATTAAAGGCAGACACCCTCATGGTAGTGATAGCCTGAAATATTTACTCATTTATTTATTTTGTGTTTTCGAGACAGGGTTTCTCTGTGTAACAACCCTATCTGTCCTGGATCTAGCTCTGTAGACCAGGCTGGCCTCAAACTCAAGATCCGCCTGCCTCTGTCTCCTGAGTGCTGGAATTAAGGTGTGCGCCATCACTGCCTGGCTCGCTACATTTCAAATAAACTCACGCTGGTTTGGAACTCAATATGCATCTGCATGCCTGTAACCCCAGTGTTTGGGGGTTGAGGTAGGAGGATCTCCAGTTTCAGGCCAACTTGAACAAAATGGGCAGACCCAGATCCAAGAAAAAATCCAATCTAAAATACTGAGGCTAGGAACAGTTAGCATGCCTGTGGTCCATTCTATTTGGATAACTGAAGCAAAATTGCTCAGGCCTAGGAGATGGGGCCAGTCTGGGCAACACAAAAGCCCCGTCTCAAAACAGGGCCAAACCTGAGGACATGGTTCAGTTAGAGCATCTGTCTAGCATACACACCCTGGGATTGATCACCAGCACAACCCACACAAATGGGTAATATATTGGAATGGATGTGTGCAAAGGCCCGAGACCAGCTCAGGATCAGCAGCCCCAAAGAGGCTCTCTGGCACGAGAGCCTGGACCTAAGAGAGGCCATGGACAGGATACCACAACAGGAGCAAAGGCCCTAGGGCTACCTGTCACATTGTCCACATAAGGGAGGCATGCAGGAAGGTCCCAATCACAGAGTATAACTTCTGAGCCCAGCTGTCATCACTACACACTAAACTAGGACATACCTTGACACCTACATTCTGTGGAAAATGACTATGAATCTGGATTTTCACCAGCTAGACAATGGAAGAACTGGCTGGCACTCTTACTTATTTTTGGGAGACTCAGTTTCTCTGGATAGCCCTGGCTGTCCTGGAACTGGCTCTGTTTATCAGTCTGGCCTCAGAGATCCACCTGCCTGTGTCTCCCAAGTACTACCACACTGTTTGAAAAACTGGTAGTCTCAAAACACATTCCCATTTATGACTGCTGTGATAGAAATCTAAAACAACATTGTTGTAAAAGTTGCAAGGATAAACATCTGGCAGATTCTAAAATTTATTCATAGGAGGCAATGAACTTCAGTGTTGCCAGGCAGTGGTGGTGGACACCTTCAATCTAGAGCTTGGGAGGCTGAGGCAGGAGGATCTCTGTGAGTCCAAGGCCAGCCTGGTTTACTAGACTAGTTTCAGGACAGCCAAGGCTACACAAAGAAACCCTATGTTGAAGAAAGAAATAAAAAAATTCTAAGCGTGGTGACATTCATCTATAATCTCAGTACTTGGGAGGCTGAGGCTGAAGAATCTCAAATTTGAGGCTAGCCTGGGCTATAGTGATAACCTATGTAGACCAGGCTGGCTTCAAACTCACAGACATCTACTTGCTTCTGCCTCCTGAGTGCTAGGATTAAAGTTGTGTGCCACCACCACATAGCCTAAGAAATTATTTAGCAAATAAAGACACATATGCAGACAAAACAACCATCAACATAAAAAAATCAGCCCTAGAAAAGCAAATTCAAGTGCAGGTGCCCGAAGCTTTATGCAACTTCTTCCTCAAAGTTCATGAGTCTTCTCTTTTTTTGAGACAGACTAAGTATGTGGCCCTAGCTGGCCTCGAACTCATGATGCTCCACTTCAGCTGCTCCAATGCCGAGAGATTTCATCATAGGAGAATTAAGAGCAGCTTCTCACCCCACACCCTTGCTCCTACCAAGCATGGGAATGCTGGCTTTTAGGACCATCACCTACTAAATGTTCCTTTCCCCAAGAGGAGTTTCAGTTCCTCTCACTTAGAGGAGGAATGGACACCAGTTGATGATTAGTGTATGCTAGGGGCGAGGGGCTGGCTCAGCTGAGTGCCTGCTGTGTGAGTTCAATCAACAGAGTCTACACTCACAACAAGGGTGTGCACTTATAATCCTAGAGTAGGACAGGTGGAGGCAGAAAGGTCCCTGGAGCCTACTTGTCAGGCAGCCTGGCCAAACTGGTGAGTCCCATCTCAAAGGACATGGACAGTGTTCCTAAGGATGACACCCAGGATTGTCTTCCACACGTACTTGAACAGACACACACCCATTAAAAATAAATGTTGAGTGGAGCCATGGACCTGCATGGACTGCCTGGGACCTTCTAGGATCCCAGACCACAGAGGATCTGAAGCCGTGACCCCCCAAACCAGCACACTCAGGAACCACTGCTCAGTTTCTCCCCACTGGAAGGGGAGCACTGCATGGAACTGGGAGTGAGGGAAGGCCCACAAATCACCTATGACATGAACAACAAGGAAGGACCCTAAGGAAAGGCACCACATGGGGAAAGTGCCCACTTTATTAGACAAGAGCCGACCCGCAGGGCCCAGACCCACCCTTAGAGGCACACTACATGCACCACTAGAGACCAGCACAAAAAACCTGCTTCCTGCACTCAGGACCCTGCCCCTGGGTGGGTGAGGCAGAGGGGGTGAGCTGGCCTCACAGAGGCCTCACAAATATTAGAGGTCACCGCTGAGGGATGCACAGGGACAGGACAGGGCTCTCTGGGGCAACCTGTATCATGCAGCCTCCTGTGTCTGTAGAGACCTGGGCTCAGTGTCCAGGCGGCACACAGGGCTGTCATATACCATCTGCAGGTTCACCCTGTGGCCCACCAGCTCTCGGATGTTATTGATGCCATATTTGATCATTGTTGGCCTAAGAGAGGGAACAGAATTTAACACTAAGTCAGATTAGGCTATCTTTTGCTTCTCAGAGGCACCCATCTTTCTCAGAATGGATGCTCAAGCCTCCCCGTGGTGAACAAGACATTGTACCATCGGCCCAGTCACTTCCAAGCCCGTCTTACCTCCCATTCTCACCTCTGTTCACATACCCCGTGCTCAGTCTAGCCCCAGAGACTTTGCACTGGCCGGGCCTTGTGCCTGCTACACCTGCTAGAAGCCTTCGCTGCCTCCTTCCTGATCACCGAGTCTCCTGCTCTACCCTCTCTACAGCACTTCCTGCCCATCAACATTCCCGCCTTCGGAATTTCCTCAGTGTCCTCCCTTCTCTGCTAGGGTCAGGTTGCACGGTACTGGGGAAATCGGCTTCCTGTTCACAGCTCAGGGCCAGGCACAAGACTGGGCATTCCTACTAAAGAATTGTCAAGAGGCATGAACAAATGAATGAATGATAGTTATCCCAAGTTCTGGCCTGGGCACTCACCGCTCCAGGGAGAGACCCCAAGCAATAACAGACACATTCTCAGGGAGTCCCATGGGCAGGAGCATCTCAGGGCGGAAGACCCCAGAGTTGCCGACTTCTACCCACTTCTTTAGACCTGTGGGGACAAAGGGGAGGCTAGGGCATGCATGTGGGTGATACTGCCCACAGAGAACTGGAAGATGGGGCAGGAGCTTATCAAAGAGGGTTACCCAGGCCAAATGTGAGGCCCCTCAGAACTCCCTCTGTATCCAGTTTCCCATCCCTGACCTTGGTGGTAGCTGAACACTTCCATGCTGGGCTCTGTGTAGGGGTTGTAGGCTGGTTTGAAGCGCAACTGGGTGATTCCTGTAGGGGTTAGGCAAGGCAGGCTGTTGACCTGAAGCCCCCTCTCAGGGACCCCAAATACTTCCTGCCTGGAGTGGCTTGCCTGCTCACCCAGCTTAGAGAAGAACTCCCTCAGCACACCCATGAGGTGGCCCAGGGTCAGCCCATGGTCAGCGATCACACCCTCAATCTGGTGGAACTCAGCCAGGTGTGTGGCGTCCAGTGTCTCATTCCGGAACACACGATCAATGGAGAAGTACTTGGCTGGTGTGAACGGCTTCTGGGGAGGATAGGTGACCAGCAGGTCAGGCCCGGCCCTGGCACAGGTCAGAAGATCTACAGGACAATACCAACCACCCACCCTGCCCAGGCCAAGTTGTACCTTCTGGGCTAAGCTGTAGAGGATGCGGGCGCTGGCTGATGTGGTGTGTGTGCGAAGCAGGTTTTTCCGGGCCTCTTCTAGCTTCCAGGTATACTTGTAACTTCGAAAAAAAAAGCAAGACGTCTGCCCTGTGGTCCTTGAACCCCAATCTCCTGCCCCTCCCCAGCCTGAATCCTGCTTCTGCCTCACCCCTGTGAGCCATAGCCGCCCTGGGAGTGGGTCCGTTTCACCCGCTGGACGTAATCCATTGGTAGCTGCAGGGCCTCAGCGGGATCTAGGCAGGACAGTCATGTGTTCAGTCAGCCCCTGTGCCCCAGCACTCGGAGGTGCCTGGCACTCCTCAGTTGATGGCACCCCCTCTTCACCCAGAGCCCACTTACCCATGCTTTCCTCTTCACTGTGTGAAAGCCCAAGTTTCCCTCTGCCCTGACCCGTGGCCTCCTGCTCTGGTCTCCTCAGTCCTACTTGACCCTGCCCTGCAGGCACAGGGTCACCAACTGACATTTCAGCCTCAGAACCTTTGCACTGGCCACAGCTCCAGCTCCAGCTGTCACAGACTTCTCTCCCTTACTTCCTTGTCTTTGCTGAAGACTTTTTTTGGGGAGGGAGGGTGGTGGTTCTGAAACAGAGTTTCTCTGTGTAGCCCTGGCTGTATTGGAACTCACTCTGTAGACCAGGCTGGCCTCGAACTCAGAGACCTGCCTGTCTCTGCCTCCCCGGGTGCTGGGACTAAAGGTGTGCACCACCACCGCCCAGCTAAGACTTTAAAAAAACAAAAAACAAAAAACTGGGACAGACTATAGCTCTGGTGGGCCTGGAACTCTCTTTGTAGACCAGGCTGGCCTGGAACTCAGAGATCCACTTGCCTCTGCCTCCAGAGTGCTGGGACTAAAGGAGTGTGCCACCACAGCCAGCCTTGTTTAAGACTGAAATGACACACGTCCTCCCTAGCCCCACAGGCACACACTAACATCTCCAATAGTTTTTAACCCACTACACAGATTCCTAGTCCAGAAGTGGATCTCCCTGGGGGCAGGGACTTTTGTCCTTCTCAGGGCTGACTCAGTTGGTTAGCAACTATCTTGCCATTCAGGAGTCTTCAGATAAACCTTGCTCAAGAAATACGTGACTTGCTCCCAATGCTTCCTGGAACCCAGGGCCTCCCTCAGGTTTGACAAGCGCTCTAACACTAAGATGTACCCCCAGAAGCAAATAAGCAAAACAATGTTCTCTCCTTTTTTTGGGGGAATGAACTTAGAATACATACCCCCACCCCCACCCCAGCGTCCTGAGTCCTGGTGACAGGTAAGAGCTATCACACCCAGCTCAAGCATGTGAATTCTTCAGGAATGTTGACAACATAGTTTTGGTGCTTGAGTTCGTCTTTAGCAGGTACCAGCTGTGTTGCCCTAAGCAAGTGATATTCTTTCTGTGCCTCAGTTTCCTCAACTGCAAAAGAGGGGCTAACAGTACCACTTCCTGTAGTTGGAAGGTTTACAACAATGGAATAGAAGATGAGTTTTGGGTACCATGACAACAGCAACATCATTGCTACTGAACTGGCAATGGGCACCTAGGGAGCTCACCTGCTCACCCGTTCACCTCATACAGGAGAAGACCACCACTGTGAGAAGTCACTCACTTCTGAGGGATTAAGGACAGTGAAACAGAACACTAAAGGGGCTGGCCTATGACCAGTGACAGAGAACGTGCCAGCATTCAGGAGACCCTGGGTTCCATCCCTAGCAGCAGCACCAGCACACACACACACACACACACACACACACACACACACACACACACACAGGAGACAAGTAACGAGTCTTGGTGGCTCACACTTGTGTTCCATCATGCTGGAGGCCGATGTCAGTCATGGCTACTGTGGGACCCTGTCTCAAACAAAACAATCCAAACTAGTAAGGCAAGATGGTCTTAGCACTTGAGAAGCTGAGGCAGGAGGACCGACATGAATTCAGAGCGAGCCTGGGTCACAGCGGAAGACTATCTGAGAAAAACAACAATAACAACTGAGAGAGAGAGAGAGAGAGAGAGAGAGAGAGAGAGAGAGAGAGAGAGAAACATTTCTAAAACTAAGGACAACATGCTTCTATTTAAAGATGTATTTTTATTTTTCAATTATGTATATGCCTGTGTGTCTGTGTGTAAGGTGTATGCACATGAGTTTGGGTGCCCGAGGAGCCCAGAAGGCATTGGATTCCTTGGAGCTGGAGTTGGAGGCTGTTGTGAACATTCAACACGGATGCTGGGAACTAAACTTGGGTCCTCTGCAAGTGCTCTTAACTGCTAGGCTTTTTCTCCAGCTCACATACACGCCTCAGTTTAGTGAAAAAGATTCTGACCCCAAATAAACCCTTGGGAATTTACATGATGGTGAGAGGGGAAGTGACAGATTCAAGGTGGCTGTGGGGTATTTATTTATTTATTTATTTATGCCAGGGACAAACAGAACCCAGGTTCCCATATGTACTAAGTAAGCGCTAAACTGATGAGCCACACCCAGCCTGAAAGTGGCATTAAAAATCCAGGACCTATGCTAGGCGTGGTGGCCCATGTCATCAGTCCAGACACTGGGGAGACAGAAGCAGGTGGATCTTTGTGAGTCTGAGGCCAGCCTGATTTACATAGTGAGTTCCAGACAGTCAGTGAAGTTCTGAATAAAGTAAAAGTAAAAGATCTCCATGCATTGCGGCCTTAGCAAGGCGGGGGG